ATATGGAAACTACAAGTCGAAATTCTAGAATGTTCCCCTAGTCATGATTGGATGGAATGTCTTCGGCTCTTTCTGGGCTTCTTGAGACATCCTAGAGTTTTCCAACGAGCCATCCTTACATAAACAAAAAACTTATAATCTTGTAAACTTCTCTTTAACAGCTTAGTTATCAACCTTGATTTATATTTCTAATCAGAAATAGTTATCATTCTTTCTTTGGCCTAGTCATTCAATTCTTACTTTATTACATCTGGTTATGTAATCCTTTTCTTTTGATTACATTGTCGTATCAATTTTTGAGGCTATGGTCTTATTTTTAATTTATATCAAACAAGATAAACCCATTGTGTCACTGAAGAAAAAAGAGGGGAATTTAGAAAAGAAAATTTTCCTTTTGACAAATTTTATTCAGATAGTTGAAATCATGAGTCAATTGAAACTAGACCACTATGGAAAACCTGAAAGCACTGAACGGCCGTTTCGTCCTATTGTGGGACTCCTCAGCAGTGCGCATCTATGATCCCGCTGTATATTCGTATTTATAGTACATTTTGTTTGCTAAAACAGTAATCTTGTCAAAAGTTGTTTAGGATAGTCAGATATTGAAAGGAAGTTATATCATAATTGGCCAATGAAAAGTGTTAGGATGAAGATAATTGTCCTCTTAATAGCTATTTAAAGTAGAACGATTACAAATTGTGATAGTTGCTATATGGTAGGTGTAAAACTAATTAGAAAAGAGTATGAGCAACAAAATTAAAAAAAAAAGATAGATTATAAAGGATAGAAAGGGAGGTTAAATTCATGGGAGAATGAGGGACTGAACATTCTGTTCTTGTACGCAAAGGTTCGACTTTAAATGGTGGATAGCAACAACCTCTGATGTACACAAATCATTCATTTACATTCCTATTGAGCTGACTCTTCCGATTGCATATATGATTTTGAAGAAAGCTTATGGTGGAGCGAAGTTGTCGAAATTGACTAAATACCTCAAGTTTAAGCTTTGATTGACTTCTGTAATCCTTTGTAAAGTCAAGCATAGTAATTTTTGGAGATGCATTTCAAAATAGCTTGCTGTGTACAGCCAGTATAATCTGTTCCACATGAGCAGATAAACTGATAAATCCACATAAATCTGGTACAAAGTGGAAGCTTATCCGATTGTTGAACTTTCTTCTCCGAGTTACCTTCTTTCTTCAACCATAATTGTTGTTAAATTGTATTATATGTATGTGTATTATGTGAAATTGTAATTTTAATCCATTTTGAATTAGGTAAGTAACTAATTGACATTTAAGCAAATAATATGAGTTCAGTTTATTCTGATAGTTGAAAGCGTGAGTCAGTTCAAGCTAGACCACCAAGGAAAACCTGGAAGCACTGAATGGCTGTTTCGTCCTATTGTCGGACTTCTCAGCAGTGCACATCCACGACCTCGCCTCGCGAGATTCCAACCCAAGACCTAACAGTCTCGTGCCAGAGAATTTAACCGACAGACCACTGAGCCGGTATCCGGTGGTGTTTATGTCTAACTTCAACCAATCCACAAGGAGTCCCGCAATAGGACGAAACGGCCGTCCAGTGCTTCCAGGTTTTCCCTAGTGGTCTAGCTTCAACTGACTCACGCTTTCAACCATGAAAATACTAAATCTCCACAAAAACCCCTACTGATAATAATAATCATATTATTATGTTAAAAGCAGTTGTTCTACCTCACTTCAAGTTAACGAAAAAAGGAAGCATATAAATCAAATTAGTATTTTTGAATGTACGCTAGATACCGTCACTTAGAGAAGAGTAACTTATTGACCTGACCAATGACGCATAAACCCGTACGTGCAGTCTAAAGTCCTTATTGTTCCTTCTTCTTGCCTAGCTCTGTCGGTTAAGTTCAGAAACACTAATCTCAGCCTCCGTGATATGAATCATATGTTTCAAATATACTGGACTCATATACATCAGCCAAATAGATCACGTCATACCATAAAACAGAAATTAGCATTTGTACATGATCTAACTGTGGAATGTAGGAGAATAGGTCTGAATAAATTACTCTGTCCAAAAACTAAAACAATCATGTAAGCTTGACATAGCGCCCCCCCCCTACGGTATACTTAATTAAGAAAATCAATTAATTAAGGGAATTAGATAAACAACCAGTTTTTCTACCAACTCAAAAATTTTTAAATCTATTTATATAGTAACAATCGTCATGTTTTTTTCAAGGTGCATCTTAAATGTAAACAAAATTAATAATTACATGCTGAAAAACATTAACTCGGACTATAAAATTTCTGGGTTAAATTTTTTTTTAAAGTGACTGCTATAACGATCAAATCCATCTGTAGCTCTTTTAGAGTTACTGCCGGTCCCAAGCCCCGGTAAAGGAGGAGGGTTGGGCATGGGGTTAGCGACCCCATCCCGTAGAAAAGCTAACTGACTAAGAAAGGCTAACCAGAAAAATTTATTCAAACCATTTAAACTCTGCCCTGGGATATGAAAGAATAATTATGACGCCTCATGATGATAGCCGAATTTCGGAAGTCACGAAGCCAAAGCACCTTCTAACAACCAGAGCAACATCATGGAAAACCTGGAAGCATTGGGCGGCCGCTTAGTCTTATTGTGGGACTACTCAACAGTACAAATCTACCATCACGCCTCACGAGATTCCAACCCACGACCTATCAGTCTCGTTCGTGAGTGCTAAACCTGTAGGCAACTGAATTGGCATCCAATGGTGTTAATGTCTAACTTCAACCAATCCACGTAATTGATCCGCACTCCACCATTGTGTTCATTGAATTACTATCTCACAACAGACACGTTTATGTAACAATCGTCAACAAATACAACGATGATACACATTAAAGTACCAAAAAATTCTAAATCAAAGTATAACTCAAATCATTTTTGTTGGAACCAAACATAACTTTCTTTACAAAATCCTTTTTAGCCAAATAATGAGTGAAAATCAATACGTTTAGGTCTACATTGGTATCAATGAATAGTCTGTATTCACAGTCAAAAATCAATGAATTACATAATTCAACTGAACACAAATGTAGTTGATTCACAGCAGGACTCATTCAATAAACAACCTATATCAGTGATATATGTTACTTTAGATATGGCTGATCTTCATCAACCATAATTCTTCGTAAACTTCCATGAAGGTTAATTCTTTAATAGTTATATATCGTAATTTTTTTTCAGTAGATTACTGAATTAACTATACAACAATTTCCATTATTTAATTCACAAAATTATATGAGTTAGATCACCATTGAAAACCTAAAAACCCTAGATGTTCATTTCACCCCGGTGTGTGACACTTCAGCCGTGCTCAGCCACAATTCCACACGTGGGAATCGAACCTAGGAATCCTGCTCTCCCTCACGAAAGCTTAAGCTTGGGACCATTGAATCGGTATCCAGCAGTGTTTGTATCTGATTTTAACAAATCCACGATATTGCTCAACTCCGCCTGTAGCTCCTCTGGGGGTTACTGCCGGTCCCAAGCCTGGGTACAGGAGGAGGGTTGGGCATGGGGTTAGCGACCACATTCCGTAGAAAATCAACTCGCTAAAAAACGCTAACCAGAAAAAATCATTCAAACCATTTAAAAACTGGACACTCAACTTAGGTTTTATGCTAACTGAGACTCTACATTAAGACCTACCTATAGTTTTGTGTTAACAAAAGCTTCTTGTGAGATTTAAACTCACGTTAACCAAATTTACAACTCAGGCCGTTACCATCTTGTTATTCGATTCGTAGCAAAGATCATGTATCAGACTCGATAACGGCATATTATGCAACCTAACTGATACAATCGAGTCAACTTAATAACTACCGGCCGAATAGCTAATTGGAAAAATTTAACATTGTGAAACTGGATGACAAGGATTCAAATCTCTTGGGAGCATTATTTACTTCAAGATTGCAGATTCGCCTTAATGATGGGTTCTATTTACCACAAAACTTGTCCCTGAAGTTAGTTATTGACTGCTTTGAATTCATTATAAGTTCCATCTTTTAAAAATATTGTTGAAGAAATCAAAAGTCTATCTTACAATTCATAAGCATTCTAAGCAAAGACGGATAGTGGATAGCAGTGGAATCAGGGACGCGCCTTTCCTTATATTTGGGACTCGTCAACTGGATGTAGCTGCATCTCGGAATTGATGTTCACTGTGGGACTGCAACCCAGTACCGTTCGCTTCAAACGCCATCACGTTATCCACTCGACCAATGAGTCCTCATAGTCACTTGCTTGTGCAATCGGTTCAAGTTGAAATTCACTTGATATTGTTTGTTTTATTCTTCCCATTGATGTTTTAGGACTGCAACTGGTCAATCCATCTTTGCCTACCATGCTTATGACTTTAGGCTATATCAAGGCAATACACACAGTATGCACATATGCTAATTAGAGATTGACCAGTTGTAGTCCTAACACATCGATGGGAAGATTCAAACAAATAATACTAAATGAATTTATTATTATTACCTTCTATAAACATGAATTAATGACTTTACATTAAAACGCTGGCAAACCTACTGAATAGTAACGTTTTCACTGAGTCATCAACAACTAGCACTGTCTTCATTAAGCCATCATGAAATCTACTGCCGTCAGTCTAGATGAAGCACGAGAATATAATCACTATGACTTAAAGAAGATTTATACCTTTATAATCAGAGGGGGTTTTGTGTAGATTTCAGTAATTTAATAGTTGAAATCATTAGTCAATTGAAGATTGACCACCATGGAAAACTTGGAAGCACAGGACGGCCGTTTCGTCCTATTACGGGACTCCTCAGCAGTGCGCATCCACGATCCCGCCTCGTGAGATTCGAACCCAGGACCTACGTGTCTCGCGCCAGAGCCCTTGTAACTTTCTGTTTCTATTAACCAAAGCTGTAAAATACTCATCAGTTCAAAATCAACAATAACAACACAAAACCATCATATTTCCTTATTCAAACACTAACCTTAATAAATCCAGTAAAGAATCCAATGTTTCAGGTCTACGTTCTTCTATTGTTCCTTCGCCTATCTCATCTTTAATTGATGTATCACCTGGATGTATGCATAAAACTAGACCGATACCAAGTATAACTGCTAGCATTGTAGTTACTACATAATAAATCAATGCATAGGAGCCAATTTTTCCACTTGATTTTGGATCTAAACCAGCAAGTCCTGAATAAAAATGAAACAAAATTACCACGTTAATAATTAATGTTCATTAAAATGTATTTGTTGCTTCTATAGCTTCACTCTCGCCACATATATACATATTCTCTGTCTCGGCTTCAACAGTTATATATTTTAGGTACGGGGTTGTGGAGATCCTTGAAATATTGATTGAGATCATGAACCGATCAATGCCAGACCAGCATTGAGAAATGGACGGCTGTTTCATTCTAGTATGATCGCACAATTTCATGGATTGGTTGAAGTTAAACATTAACATCGGTTGAATGCCGACTCAGTTGTCTACAGGTTAAGCTTTTGAACGTGAGATCGAAATTCATTAGTTCGAATCACACGTGCAGGATCGTGGATGTGCACCGTTGAGGAGTCCCATATTAGGATGCAACAACCATCCAGTGCTTTCAGATTTAAATAGTGGTACAACATTGATTGACTCATTATCTCAATCAACAATTATATATTTTTATATTTACAAATAATCATTTTGGGTTCTAAAAAGAAAAATGAAATCAGTTCCAGATCAGTGAACCTTTAAGAAATAAGATCCATTTGGGATTTTAGCCTTCATTTAAAACCAATTGTCCATATCATTGGTATACATTAACTAAATTTATTTTACAATATGCTGTAATTGATAAGAAGAAATTGTTATTTCGATCCTCTCTAGTTGCAAGCTCGATGATTAATGCATTTCCATTTGGATATATATGTACATCTTAATTCTGTTCATTGACTTGCTTATTCACTATACTCGCCTACTCGCTGACTCGATCAATCGATCTCTCCCTCTCTCATTCTACTCGCGCGCTCACTTGCTTGCTTTACCGCACTACTCTTTCATGGTTGCTTAACGTGCCTGTAATTTTGGATATCTGTGTGTGGTTCAATAATAAACACAATCAACCCTTCGTATTCGCCTTCTGATTTATACACCGTTAGGACGTTATCGAGTAACGGTCATCAGGACGAACAATATACGAAGTTTAGGGATAATATCGAATATAGACCACCACAGACTAACGGTTGTGTGTATAATTAATTTGAGTTATATGAACATTTTAAGAATGTAATTGCTACTTTAAAATGATTGTGAAGATTACTTATCGTTATGATTTGATCAAGCTGTAACAATTAGACTATAAAAACATGTTAACTGGTGTTCCATAAGATCAAAACTAGAAAATCTGAAATCGAAGAACTTAGTTCAATTGGCTGCACAGTGGCTGCACAGGGACTTGGGAGAAGTGTAGTAAACGAGAACACAAGTGTGGACAATCGAATATATTCGGACACAACATAACAGAATGTCTTAGTTAAGTCTGACAACCATACAGTAAATACTTCATTTACAAAATGTCAATCAATTGTTTCAAAACTTGACTGTTCACTCAATCGTTTCATACTTCAATGTTACTACATTTCCATACCAATTACTTTCTGTTCCCATTATTTCCTCCTCGATCTTCTCGACCTTCTGCTGCCAGACATTCTTTTTCCGACTAGCGTTATGAACTACTTATGTCGATATCAGTAGCACACATCACTGAAGTATGGTGTTTCCTAAGAACAATAACTCTCTCTGTCAGCATTATATTCCTACAAACTGAAGGGAAATTAGTAATGAGTCTCTCTAAATCTAGTACACACCCTTTTAACAACGATATCAAAGGAATCAAAAAAGATTGGAAAATACATCGATTAAAAATAAAGAAATGATCTTATGTGAATGATTTCAGGTTTTAACGGTTCCGGGGTCATATAGTTATAGTTATAGTTGTACTGCCTGAGATTCATTCATCAAGGATTTGGAAATCAAGCAGTATGTCATACACTTACGTCGTTAGTGGTTTTTTTATTGCTTATCGTCGTAACTGTATTCACTCACATTCGGATCACTTTATGTTCGAATCATATACACAATTCATACATAGTTATGAAATGATCATATTAAGAGTTCACTTCACATAATAGTAACATATATTCCCACGGATTTATAATTTCGATGGAATCTTTTTCGAAACGAGTACAATACATTAATATCAGCTTTCTGGGTTCAGTAGCTAAGTGGGTAAAGTGATGGTGAGCTATTCGGGTCGCCCGAATTGCTAAGTGGTAACGTCTCTGACTGTTAAGCTGGGTGACACGGGAACGAATCTGTAAGGGAGCACCAGTTCCTTCAAGATAACAGGTACAACTTGCTGACGAGTGCCAAGTAGCACGAAAGCCGGGTCCAAGATTTTCTGTTGACCGCCTCCAACCATCATCTTATCTCAACATAGTGCACGCAGTGTTGAGCCATCTTAAGTAGTGGCCACACAGCAACCTGATCGATAGCATTCGATCAGCACTAAGACGGAGTTGACACGCATGACATTGATCACCACCTAGTGATCAATCAATTTTAAAGTGAACAGTACAGTGTTCGAGTCCCGGAATAAATAACTCTAAGATCTTGGAACATCCAATTATCGAGTCCTGAATAGAGTGAAACGCTCATCTTGGATTCCACTGTTAACCACCATCCACCACTTTATAGAAAGGAGTGAATGTTTTACATAGTTCTGTTTTCGCATCCTGTCATTTTCATCATTAATTTGGGAACAAATAAAATTTTTCTTTTTTGATTCTAAGTCATCCTAAAATCCAGCAAATTGTTTTCCTGTGAGGTAAGCTTATGTTACAGGTTTATGAAATCCGGTCAATGGTTTTAAGGTCACTATCTTTGTTCTATCTAGCTCAGAAATGAAACATAATTTTATCTAGAATGTTAACGGATATAAGAATTCAGCATTACAAGGAACCATCGTATTGCATATCATTCACATCTCAATGATTCAGTCAATAGGACTCACTAAATTGATATATAGTCATGACATCTATCATATGCTTAGTTAACCTTAGGAAAATAATGTCAAGTTCTGGTGTTACTCCTTAACAATGCTACTAGACGAAACGATGAGATAACTACTGATTTGATCAATTACTTTAAACATTAAGTATATTCGATTCCCAATAGACAGCTAAACAAAACATAGTTGTAAGCAGAGATGGATAGTGGCTAGCAGTGGAATCCAGTTTGATGCGCGTTTCGTTTTATTTGGAACTCGTCAGCTGGATGTACCTGCGTCTCAGAGTTGATGTTCACTCTGGGACTCGAACCCAGTACCTTCGCTTGAAATCGATGGGAAGATTCAAACAAACAATACTGAATGAATTTTAAAACATACTTGTATTTGAACCATAATCACATTGACATTTTAACATAACACCGAGAAATACTGAATATCAAGAAAACTAAAAGAGCCTATTTAATGAAGGTCTAATTTACATACTTCAGTTCATTTCTAATTCAACATAAAATCAGTTTGAAAAAGTCAATACAAACTTAATTACTTTCATACATTTCAAATAAAATCACTTAATTTTGATTTAGGTTTGTTCTCTGAGCTAGATGGTTTGGTCGTGAAGTTTTCGCCGTCCTTCTGAACGACATCATCAGCACAAACTTCGATTAGTGAAGAGTGTCTCAACGATTTTTACCCACTTATAACCTCAGTTGGTTTTCATAGTGCATACTCTAGTGTATTCATGAATTAAAACCAAATTGTTTTTTTTTCTTTTTTCAGTCCTACCCTTCACTTAAGCTTCTATACTCATTACTAATTATTTCGTGATATAAACTAATTAATTTTGTAACCATGTGAACAATGAAACCAACTTTATACTAGTATAACTAACGTTACATGTTCAACGTCATTTATTCATCTTCATTTTCTTTTTGATGATGATGTAACAATTACCTAGAGTTAGATTTCTTACAAGCATACCTTAAATAATAATGTAACATTTTGTATATTGATTGCTTTTATATATAAATACGGTAAGAAATAATGATAAAATATGTCAGTGAATTCAAGGGATGAAGAACTTTATATCTCTAGATAATTGAGTTTATCTATGCATTAATGATGTTGTGATGTGGGTTACTTATATCCACATAAATACTATAAAACGATTGCCCCAAAATTCCCTGGTACGGTTGAGAGTGGGGAGGGGCCGCCCTACCTCTCGAAATACTCTTACACAGCCACGCCTAAACAGCCTCTGCCAGGGAAGTCCTTGTCACTGTCTTCTCGTGGTGGGGTGTTGTTTACGAAATTGAGAGAACGAAAAATGAATGCCTCTGGCTTTAACCGGGTTCGTAGACACGGAAAGTCCACCTTGAGGAGTTGGAAAACCCAGATTCCAAACGAATGGTATACATGTGCTTCAGAATCCTGAGGTAACATATGGTGTATGAACCTATTGTTAATCACCGGCTACATTGGGAGTGCATTTCCTGAAGTTGCTCTGCTGCCTTGTGGATTAGACATATAGGTCAAAGGCTCGTGGTGTGGCCCTCTAAGAAGGCCACCTGCTTCGTTCTGGGAACCGGGGCAGTATCACAGCCCACAAACAAATGTGTGACACATATATTTCTGGTGTCTCCTTGTATCAATATTTATGTGTTTAAATAAATGAACAATAATAAAATATAACGTTAGTTGGGCATTGAATGTATTTCAGTTGAAGATCGATAACCAAAAGAACGGGAACGAAACGTAATTGGTATGAGAATGCATGAACAATAATAATCAATGATGATGAATTCATATTTGCAGAAAGAACAGTCAAGATTAAGACAATTCTTTGATATTTTGCAAGTTAACTATTTACTATATGAGCAAAGATGGACAGTGGCTAACACTGGAATATATATATATATATATATATATATATATATATATATATATATATATATATATATATATATATATATATATATATCAGCGTAGAGCTACGAAGTGGAACCGACTGAAAGGAAACATTTCTTCGCCCAAATTGTATTTCTAACTGAGGGATATTGATCATGAATACAGTGATCTTGAGTGCTGTTAGAGGTATGAAGGCAGTTATCACTTCCCGGCTGCCAGCACTGTGGAAAGGTTCTTTTGGAAGTACGTGAGATGGACATTGAATTAGAAGTGGTCTTAGTGACCGCAGTGCCCAACAGATAACTGCTTGTGGTCAGCCACATACGACCTTCTTGTGAGTAATTTTTGTTTTAGCTCCATACTTGTTGAAACTTCGCCGCCTGAGATGGACATCCGTGAGATAAGGCGAGGTATACATTTTTAGGGTCGACATTTTCTAACCTCACCCATCCTTGTGAGAAGGCAGCATCGCTGTTATGCGTGTTATCTAAAGGAAACACTTTACTGCCATTACATCTCCGTACAGTCAGCTGTATGACTTCGGACCTTGGGTTTGCTACTTTTAGTTTTACTGCTATTCAAATGACCCACCGGGCATGGTAGGAACTTGAGGAACGATTGTTGCAGCCAGTATAGCTCGATAGGTACATTATGATAGACAAGATCGACGAAAGTGGCAGCGACGGTTGGGAATTCTAACTGATCTGTACAGCAAACAGCAAACGCATATGAATAAAGTGAATTTAATTATTTCATGACGTTTCATTGTCTGCTTACAACTTGGAGACAATAGTAGTAAATATATCAGTAGAATAACGACAAGAAATACAGGAGAGTTTTAAAATGGTAAAGTGGGTAATGATTTATGTGTTACTGAATGTGGAAATTATAGAAGAAACATTTTTGAAACCAATGGTAACTTGCCTTTGATGAATGGAAATCAACACCAAGATTAGTCATAACAACTATGAAAGTAAATAAACCGACCACTGTTAGTTAAGCTCAAACATGACCTACTAACCTCAAAAAGGGGTCTGTTATTGTGTTTATGAGATGAGATAATATGTAATTGAATTATAAAAAGTAGAGGTTACCATGCTGTAGCTAGTACTATTGTAATGAACGAGAACATAGGTAGGAACAATCAATTGTATCTTTGGTAAAATGTGAAAACCATACTTTCAATACTTCTTTTGCGAATCCTCCTACAAATGTCCAAAATTTCATCGTTCCTTCATAACCATAACAACTACTGTCCGTTCCCATTCTCTTCTATTCAATCTTCCCAATCTTCTGCTGCCAGGCATTCCACTTCTGATTGGTGCTATATACTACTTATAACAACGTAAGTAGCATACAGCACACTATATCAAGCCTGCATAGGTTATCCTAGCTTCTGGATAGACCAATTTATTCATTCTTATCAAGCCACATTTCGACCCTGTCAACTATTTACTTATTAATCCCGACTATTTTTGCATTATCGTATGTGTTAATTGCTCACTCTATTCATTATGTGTCTGTAACTTATTTTTGTCTGAATATAAATATCGAGTCACGCTTGAATAAATTGAGTTGGCTCACTCAACTCCTCCGCTGCGCGTCATTTCGTTTCGTTTTGCTTCGTTTCCTTCACTTTGTTTCTCTGATTGTCTATGTGGATCAATGAGTGTATGAAATATGCGCAACTGCGATTCATCCTCGTATTTAGCTTATTTTATTCCATCATTCTCTAACACTAATTAGTTCGATAATTTTATACAAAGTTTGGTGGTATGTGTATTTCAATAACAACCATCATATGAACTAAATACAGTCAGATATTGGGCCACGAAAACTAGGGTGTCAAAAGATCCATAACTATATCCTTTTGAATTCGTTGTTTTAGCTTCACTTTTAAATCGTGATGGCCTTGGCGTAACCCACAAAATTCAAAACGTTTGGAGTATTGTCTACTTTGAACAACTTTAAACTATCAATTTTGTGTTTACTATCAAACAGATAATGGAGTGTGCCTAATGATGAGTAAAAATCCCTATTTTTTGTTACGTCAATGTAAATGATCTGGTATGAAGATATAAACCGGTAAATACACTTAAAGGTAACAAGAAATGGGAATTTGTCTACCTTTATATGTTTCTGTTGGCAATTTATCTGATACAACGTAACTATTATAGAAGGCTTGAATAAATTTCTTTCTGGTTAGCGTTTTTTTAGCGAGTTGGTTTTCTACGGAATGGGTTCGCAACCCCATGCCCAACCCTCCTCCTTTACCCGGACTTGGGACCGGCAGTAGCCCCCGGAGGAGCTACAGGCGTCATGAGACAAGCCCTCATATAGAATCCTGAAGGCCAAAAGGAGAAGAGGAAGACCAAAGAACATATTACTTCGAGAAATGGAAACAGACATGAGAAGAATCAACAAAAACTGGATAGAACTAGAAAAGAAGGCCCAGGACAGAGTGGGTTGGAGAATGCTAGTCGGCGGCCTATGCTCCATTGGGAGTAACAGGCGTAATTAAGTAAGTATAGGAGGCTACATATGTCCATATACGTAACTTAGCATTATTCATATTGGTTATATCATCACTTTAGTAACTAGCTTATAAAGTAATTGACTTTTTTCTAGATCGCAATGATTTACTCCCATGTAATAGAATGTCAAATGGGAAAACGTTATACATACATACATCTATTCATATGTTCAATGATCACTTTCTTTCTGTTCCGCTAATGAACCAATCATATTGAAGAAAAATAGTTTACATTACACAAATCTGTATATTTCAATTCTGTGCGATACAATTCACAAATGGGAACACTCGCACACACACACACACACCGACATAATCAATGGTAAGCGGAATAGTTATGATTTTATTGTATCATTTTTAAGTTAGGAAATGTTAAAGATGATCAACAGTTAAAAAACACAGAAATTGGACAATATGATCCAATGAATAGAGTGGATCATTACTTAATAAGTAAAGATTTCATATCTATGGTATTTGTATATAGGCTTTATAGTTAATCATTTAAAGTATATAAGATTGTTGATGAAAGTATTCTGCATAGTGATAATCGCAATGATATCAGTAACCGACTTAGTGATAATAATTCCTAAAATATTTTTATGAAAGTAGTTTTTATTGGGGGAAGGGGTGTTATAACATCATTTTTTTTAATGATACAGACATTCAATAGTTTTCATTTTCAGCGTCAATCAATTCGCTCTTATCAGCGACCGTCAAATATTACCATATGTATCAGATGTCTGAAATCTTATTTAGCTCCACTAATCACCTCTTCGTTCCTATTCTTTCTTTATCCATCTTATGCTAAAATACATTATATTCCTGACCATCACCATATACTACTTATGTGGATATAAGTAACCTACATCACATTATTAATACTATCAATGAGATTTTAAATCATTCCTTTTGATTATGATATGAGATAAACTATATAATTAATGATGTACGATGAAGATAATGAAGAAAGATTGTTTAGTGTGTGTGTGTGTATGTGGTTATTTGATTTGATAACATTAACTAATAAAACATTAGAATTCAAAGATTGTTTTGAAAATACTTTCATCACAACAAACTTCTTGAACAATTCAAGTTGTCTTATTCTCAACTGTACAACATTCAAATATTACGTTAAGTTCTCTGTTACTTAACCAATGAATGAAAATATAAATGTGAACATGTATATCTTAGTGTATTATAATCATATTTATTGATACCGAATGCCCCCTAAATGCCCTGGTACGGTCGAGAGTGTGGAGAGTCTACTCTCCCTCCTGAAATGCTCTCATATGGCCAGCCGTATATAGCCTCTCCCAGGGAAGTCCTACTCACTACCTTTTAACATCTGGGGTGTTGCTTACTAAATTGAGAGGACAAAAATCAAATGTCCGGAGCTTTAACCGAGTTGGAAAACACTGATTCCAAACCAATGGTGCACATGAGCTCCATTATCCTAAAGGAACAAATGGCGTATTAATCAATCGTCGGTAACCGGTTACCATGGGACTGCATCTTATCACGATACTCACGATACGCTTTGTGGATCAGACCATTAGGTTCCGGGTGTGGTCCCCTAAGAAAACCACCTGTTTCGGTTTGGGCACCTGAGCAGTATCATGGCCCTCACACAAACCAAATGAAATTTGTGCGGCTCATATATATCTGGTGCCCCTTTGTACCAATATTTATGTGGTTGAATAATAATATTAATAGTAATAATAATGAATACCGAATGTCAAAAATTACGACAACTAGACAAATACCCCAATTTAATCAATAATCGAAAGCGTTCAAATATTTACAATTATTTTGTTGAAATGATTTGTGTTATTATCCCAAAGAGAATTATGATTGGTAACTTTTGTAAACTATTTATGGACCAATATGATATGTATATCTCTTATTGTATAATTGTTAAGTAACTGAAGTATTCATATTTATGTTCCTCTTATTATAAGCTTCATTTTGATCCATAAATTATTACTTTACCATTTACCATTCCTGAATTATACCCAGTCTATTGATTACTGTTCCCCCCACATTCACAGCCACATTTGGCCAAATCTTGTACAAATGTTACTTTCTATTTTATTAGTACGATGTGGTCTGTTTGTTTGACATATAAACCCAATATGTTTGTGATTAATAATTCATATTGAAGAGGCTATTATTATTAGTGTTCTGAAATTAACTGTCTATGCTAGGCAGATACCAGGATTGATAAGTATTCAAGACTGCTCATACGGATTTTGCTTATCATTCCTCCGATCAATGAATCATTGCTCTCTAATTGACGGCATCTTCACGTGATATATAACAGGACACTCAGGTATATACGTTATAACAATATGGTATATGTATATAGAAGAAAAACAAATGTATACAATAAACAGTATTACACAGAATACCATAGATACATATATATATATATAGGCATAGTTACTAACCTGCTATTAAACTGGATACAATTAATGGTATAATTAACATTTTTAACATATTCATTAATAATTCACCAGGAAATGATAAAAGATAAATTGTTCTTGGTGATGGTGTTGCATAAATTTTAACTAATAAACCAATTGTCATACCCAATATAACAGCTAATACAGTAAATGTTACAAATAAATTATCTAAATTAATAATCCATTTTTTAAACTAAAAAAAAAATTACAAAAAATACAAAAAAAAAAAACATTGTACAGAAGTTGAATTCTTGGAGATTGAATGTAGATGAAGGTTAATGTGAATGATTACTATGTGATGTGAAGTTTGATAGAATTTGTTTCAAATAGCCCCTAGCCCCCACCCCTACAACAACAACGCATTTGATATTGAAGTACAAAGTTCAAATAAGTAATAACTTATGTAATAGATATGAATTTCTTTCTAAGAGTTTGTAGACAAGATCTCGATTGATTACAAAGAATGATAGCAAATCAATTAGCTTGTTAAGCTTTTTACTTACTTACTTACTTACTTACGCCTGTTACTTCTAACGGAGCATAGGCCACCGACCAGCATTCTTCCACCCACTCTGTCCTGGGTCTTCTTTTCAAATTCTATCCAGTTTTTGTTCATTCTTCTCATGTCTGTTTCCATTTCTCGAAGTAATATGTTCTTTGGTCTTCCTCTTCTCCTTTTGGCCTTCAGGATCCCATGTGAGGGCTTGTCTTGTGATGCAGTTTGGTGCTTTCCTCAATGTGTATCCTATTCATCTCCAGCACTTCTTCGTGTTTTCTTTCTCTGCTGGATGGAAACTGGTTTGTTGTCTCCCACAGTAACTTGTTGCTAATAGTGTCTGGCCAAAGGATCCGAAGTATTTTTTGTAGGCAACTATTGATAAACACTGTATGTTCTGGATGACAGCTTTCGTAGTTCACCAGGTTTCCGCCCCATACAGTAGAACCATCTTCATATTTGTATTGAAAATTCTAATCTTAGTGTTGTTTGACAGACAAGTGTTTTGAGTTCCAGATGTTCTTCAATTGTGAATATGCTGCCTTACTTTGCCGAACCGCATCTTCACGTCTGCATCAAATCCACCGTGTTGATCGATGATGTTTAAAGCATTTTAGATGACCAAAAATATCGTGTTACTAAGAGCAGATTAAAATTTCGTAAACTTGAGAATTTCCAATATACTTTTTGTCAAGAGTTTTACCCTATTTAGGACCTATCAACTGGATGTATCTGCACCTCACAGTGGATGTTCACTCCATGACTCTAACCTAGTACCTTTCGCTTCAAATATCATCGAGTTCTTCAGTTAGCTACTGAGGACAATAGTGGAACAATATCAATCAGTATCTCTATATATTTTTAAATACCATATAGACTCCAACGATATTGTATTTAGCTCTTAGTTTTCTAGTGATCTGCAACAAATACTACAAAGCTATACGGTTTATAACAATTAGGCGAATGTCGCTTACCATAAGAAATTATAAATCATCCAAACATACTTATGTCATCCGAATAAATTATTTTTCTAATTTTCAAATAGCAACAAAAACTTGAATCATTTTCATGGAGAAACAAATTTTTCAATAAAATTCTTAATTACTCCTATGATATTGTGATTGAACAATTGTCTTGTATCGTTTATATTTGAAATCATTAGTCAATTGAAGATAGACGATCATGGAAAACCTGGAAGCACTAGATGGCTGTTTCGTCCTTTTATGGGACTCCTCAGCATTGTGCATTTATCATCCCGCTTCGCAAGATTGCAACCTACGACCTATCAGTCTCTCGCGTGAGCGCTTAACCTCTACACCACAGAGCCGGGCGGCATCCACTGGTGTTAATGTCTAACTTCAACCGATTCACGAAATTAAGCCGCCCTGTAAAATTGTCTTCACTGAGTTACTATCTCACAACAGAACTGGTTGCACTCTACTGGTCACTGCGTCTCACTAGAACTCCAAGAAATACCACTTCGAGCCAGTCTCTAGATTATAATATTCATTCAGTTAATTTTAATTTGTGATACAAACTATATTTCGCTCAGAGATTTCAACAAACGATCACATTATAAAAACTAAGATGTGACATAATACCACAATTCAACAGATAATGTTTGTAAGCACTGATAAACTGTAATAGAATTATTCCCAAATAATAAATTCCTTTCAATAACTAACTAATATCAAATTCACTTGGTATTGTTTACTTGAATATTCTCGTTGATGTTTAGGACTGTAATTGATCAATCTCTTATTGGCATATGTATTTACTGCAAGTATAGCCTTGATATTGTCATAATTCATAAGCAATATAAGCAGAGATGAATAGTGATTAGTAGTGGAATCCAGGACGCGCGTTTCGTTCTCAGTACTGGATTTGAGTCATGGAGTGAACATCAACTGTAAGATAAAGGTATATCCAGCTAACGAATCCTAAGTAGGACGAAAAGCGCACTTTTGATTCCACTGCCAGACACTATCCATTTTCGCTTATAACTAATATCATATTATCAGAATTGGGATTTGTGGAGATTGTAGTAATTTTCACAGTTGAATTCATGAGTCGATCTGAGCTAAACCACCATCGGAAACCAGGAAGTACTGGTTGCTTGTCTCGTCCTAGCATAGTATTCAACTGTTAATAATATATTATCAGAAAGGGGTTTTCGTAGATATTATACTGATTTAATAGTTCAATTCACCGTTGGATTCCGGTCCAGTGATCTAGAGGTTAATCGTTCGCACGTAAGACGGATAGATCCTGGATTGGAACCTCATGGAGCGGGATCGTGGATGCGCATAACTGAGGTTTCTCTCACTAGGACTAAGCCGTCATGCAATGCCTCCTGATTTTCCATGATGGTCTATCTTCAATCGATTGATGAATTCAATTATGATTTCAACTATATACAATTACTAAAATCTCCAAAAAACCCCCTTCTGATAACGATCATATGCCCACTAGTGACTAACACCATGAGGCATTTCCTGGAGTTTTAGTGAGGAGTAGTAACCAGTGGAATTCAACCAGGTCTGGTATGAGATATTAACTCACTGAAGACAATGGTGGACGATTGCTCAATTTTGTGGATTAGTTGAAGTTAGACATTAACACCAGTGGATGCCGGCTCAGTGGTCTAGAAGTTAAACTCCCAGGTTTTCCATAATGGTCTATCTTCAATTGATTTATGATTTCAACCATATAAAATTACTATCATATTTGTTCTAACGTTTCTACAACTTCATAATATATTAAATTTTATCAGAAAAAAAGGGGGGAAAAGAAACATAAACTACAATATAACATGAATGAAACTAATCAGATTGAATGATATTCTACATGCCAATTTTATCCAAGTTTCATTCTTTTATTTTATCATAAAAAAGTTTCTATTTGAATCAATGTTAAATTTCATTCTATAGAAAATAATTCAGTCCAATAGTTTCCGGAGATTAGATCTAGTTGATCACTAGATAACAATAAGGATTATCATTAATATTATTATTATATTTTTTTTGGTAATGGAGTCGCTAACCCCATGTCCTACCCTCCTCCTTTATCCGGGCTTGGGATCGGCAGTAGCCTAAGGAGGAGCTACAGGAGAAGTAAGTAAGTAAGTAAGTTTAAGTAATGTCAAATATTGATCAGTTCATGATCTCAATGAATTCCATTGATCTTCACAATCCTAAACTAAGAATTCATTTTCATTTTTGCTATACACTCAGAAGAACTTGTTAGAAATGGGTACGTTAAAGAATTCTGTTAATGATGCCACTATTGCTTACAACCCAGTCGTAAATATCAGGAACAATATAGTACAAACTTTAACTTGTCATTATATGTGTATATTATATTCCTTGAACAATTTAGTAATCATCTAATTTCACTAGCTTAGCAAATAACGTGGTAACTGTATGGGCAGATTGTAGTATTTTCAGTGCTTAATTCACAAGTCGATCTGAGCTAGACCACCATTGAAAATCTGGAAACACTGAAATAGTGTCCTATCTTAGTATATGACTCTCCAGTAGTACAAGTCCACAATCACATTACAAGAGATTGAACACAGTGCTTAACCTTTAAATCAATAAGCTCGAGATTCCTCAATGAATTCACGATCTTATATAAACATCTTCCATTTTATTGTTGACAAGTTCCATACTAGAACGAAGTAGCTGTCCAGTGTCTTCTGGTTTTCAATGGTTGTCTAACTAAGACCAATTTATGATTTAAAACTATGAAAATTATACATTTTCCACAAAATCTTGCCCCCACCCCACCCCTACTTTCTTATTTATTTACCATATTCACCATGGACACATATTTATTTCCAATATTGAAAAGTATGTGACAAATTACCATAAGTGAACAAAATGATTATCCTATTGTTTTGCACACAAACTCTCCTTCCCCATTCACTTTGTTTAGATTATTTCCCCATCATTTAATTGAATGATTTATCTTTATATGCCAAATTTAAGACAATAAAATAGTTGAAGCCTTCGTTTATTGTCTTTCTCCTTCTTCCCATACTACTTAAATAATTAATTAGTTTTGATTCAATATTCTTTTATTTTTTGATGGTTTTCTTTATTCATTGATATTGTTTAAGAGAAGATATCTTTTGAATAGACTGGGCAATGGATATTAAAGAGATTTGATTGTTTAATAAACGATAGCCCTCAAAATGCCCTGGTACGGTCGAGAGTGGGAAGAGTCCGATCTCCCTCTCGAAATGCTCTCACATGGCCACGTGTATACAGTGTAGTACCAGTTCATATGTTAGGCCCATATACTTTATTCTAGTTACTGGCCAAGCCAATTCACCTGTACATTGAGTCATCTTTTGATCTTGTTAATCATTTGCTTATTAACCTTGAGTACTTTTTCTATGAGCGCATATGTGTACACTTCGTATCTTATTCATCATATGTCTGTCACTCATTTTTGCCTGCCTATAAATGTTAGTTAACGCTTGCTTAAAATGAGTTGGCTTCCCAGCCATCTCCAATACGCATCATCTTTGCTTCGCTTGCTTACAGTTGCTCATGTGCTTACAACTTTCTGGTCTGCATCGATTATCAATAAAAATGTAGTTGCCGCTTCCCTTTGCCTTCTGATATTATACACCGTTCAGATTGTTATAATAACGGTTATCGAAGCGAACTATGATCGAAGCACGGCACTAC